TTGACATTGTTGTAATGGTGCCATTTTGATTTGAGAACAATGGCACGACCACTGGAAGGCGGAAAATACTCCGCGGAATTTTAGGTTTCATTTTTGTAGGGGAATGATAACAAGGGAGGGACCTCGTGATAAACTTTAACTGTTAGCAGATCCATGGCCACTAGAGCACCTACGGCTCAGTTGTCTTAGCTATAAACATCCTCTTCACTTTCACTGTTCGTATCCTTCCCCCGCGACTCCCTAAGATAGTAACATTCGACCTATTTACGTGGAGAGTGCGGTGCGGTTGCTGCGTAGTTGATCAGCGATAGTCAGTTCTCTATTAGTTCAAGCCACGTAGATTTCTCCGCTAATGTTCCACAGTCATCTCCGAGGAGAACTGCGAAATAAAAAGATATCTGTTGCTCACGATGGACAATTGAATATTATATAAATTGAATGATCGGTTGTCGCATCATCACACTTTAAAGGAAGCATCATCGTCGCCTGTGGACGTGACCGTCAACAGAAGGTCAGTGTTGCGAAAATGTTTTTTTCCCAACCATCACGCTTCTGCTGGGCCATGGAGAGGAGCTCGCTGTGAGAAAGCAGCCTCGAGCAGTGAAGTTACAGTTTGACCCACGCGGTCGCTGGCATTGTCCTTGGTAATTTGTACTCCGTTTTCATGACGTGTTTTCAGATCAGCTCAATGTTATTGTGGACCTAGATGCGGGAAAACAGATGGACGAATCTTTGTGTGTTTAAAAATTAAATAAGTGTTTGAGTTTTCTACACATAGGAGCTTTGGTGTCAGAAGTAGTATCTAGTTGTGAATATTACTTTTTTCTCTGTATGCCTTGTTCTTCTATGATTTTACAAAGGGATTTTACGGAAATGTTTGCACTACTTATAGGACGGTAAACGGAAGCACACAACATGGCTGAATGTTGAGCTGATTTCGGAGTCGACTTAACATCTTGGATTTGGCTTTAGGCGTGTTTGATGGAAAACCTACGTGAAGTTCGGTGTCGTTCTCATTTGCACAAGGACTGACTGACCGTTGATGATACTCTCAAAACCACTACATCACTGTAAATTTAGTGTAAATAGAGTTGCTACCACAAAATACTGGGATTTACAGTAACCGCGTAAACTTGCTTTGTTCCTTGGAAGGAATGTTGTCAACATGCAGAACTCTGAGGTTACGCCCAGGAATAACTTTGAAAATAGAAAAATCTAATTGTTAAAATTTCAAATTTTCGGAGTATTGCCATTTAGATGTGACTAAAAGGGTTCGAAGACTGGAGAAAATGAATATTCCGCTGAAACTTTGCTCTCATTTATGTATAGGGATAATAATATGGATGACCTTTCCTGGCGTACAAGTCGAGGATCGATCAAATACGCGGCAGTGGTTGTCAACACTCCGTGATTACGACCAACAAAGAACGACCAAAGCACCATGGCTAGCTACTACCAATAAGAAAGGAGAGGCCATAAATATCATTTGCGCAATAATTATTATTGCAAAAGCACAGAAATTCGTTCAACTTAATGAAAGATTTGGCGTAGAAAGCCCGAGGTATATATCTGCCGCTGCTTGCCATAACTGCAAGTTGCAGTCTTCCTCTTATTAACGCAGTAAGTCTGGTATTGAAGGATGGCAGGCTTCATCTTCCCCCTCTCTTATGTTCACTGCCTCTGAATGCTCCGACTTCTTTTTCTCTGGACATATTCTTCCTCAGCATTCGGTCGGAATCTTCTACGTGCGCGTGACCTAAAGCTCAGGAAAGGCAAATATTCCCGTGTTCAAAGCTGAGCCGTAAACCGAAGCTTAACAATGACCTAAATTCAAAGTTTGCATTAACGTTAAACCTAAACTTAAATATAACCGTAATTCCCTGGTATTCGGTAGAAAACCACCTTTTCCCGTGTCCAGCCAAGGCAGGCGGAAATAGGCCTTGCAAGTGATTCCTAACCAGCGTTAGTCTGCTTTTATTGATTAGATGATCGGCAGGTCTACCAGTGCGAAATATAATGATAAGACACTAAAAGCTCGCGAAGAAATATCGGGACTAATATGTGCACAGTTATTTGCACACAAAATAATTCTACTAAGCTAATTTAATTCTCCGCAAAGATGTGGCAACTTTGTTATTGCTCATAAGCTGTGTAAGCGGTGTGGAGGCCCTGACTGACGCGCACAGACCTCCGTAGCACACGCCGCTGCGATCGGTTCCGTTTGACGACATTATCTCGAGGCAATCCAGATGCGGTGTTTATCAAACTAGGCGCACGGTCATCTGGTGAAAACTACATGCACCTGATGCGATGGATGCTGCGCGGCGCCTTGAGCCAGCGATCGATCGATTTTACCTCGCCAAATGGCGCAGGCACCGCGATTATGTGTCTCCGCATATGCAGTCGCGGGGCTTTCTCGCGCAGATAGCACCATCTCGCCAAACATATTTTTTCGTTGGAAATATTCGTACGTCCGTTTCCTAAAATACCCTTGATATCAGTAGTGCGAATTTGTGGGTTCTTTGAAGTCTGTGTTGAAGAAGAATCTCCTGAAAATGCACACCTCGGAATTAACAGCACTAACAGCAGCCGATTGACCGATAAACAATTAAACGATAAGATGGAGGGCGCAGGTTGCAGCGTATTTCTCCAAATCCGTTTCATATTGACCCAACTGTGAAAATCTCGGCGCCTCGGTGGGATTCGAACACACGCAGCAAGGAGAAGGCTTTAGTACAGCCAACGCTGTAACCACTTCAGCTACGAGGCCCCGCCGGACGACTCGAGTTTACTCATATTTGGGTCAAATTTACCCGCCCAACCTACTGCAACGTCTGGAATACACCAAATCTGATGCAGTAAGTTGACTGCCCAAGCAGGATTTCCTAAGTAATTCACCTACAATTCACCAGATGACTACCAGGCTCACGTAATTGATAGGTTATTATCTGAGTTTAAAACTAGCATATTTCGCAGTAACATAGAACAGGGTTAACGTCAGATGCAAAATATTCGGCGAGTTCGATATTTAGCAGTTCTGCTACGGTTTCTGGCACTCAGTACCGTTTCGAAACGCTTTTTAACAAACAAACGATGAGATCCTGCATTTTCGTACTGCTAGATCATGTGAATCATAGCAACCATTCCTGAAAACAAATGTGATCTCGAATTGCCACGGCATGCTTCGTAAGCTAAGTTTCTATCTATAAAGCGTAAACGCCTCCTTTTATTCAGTTGGACGCCACTGAACAGATGGACGGAATTAATTTCAATGGATTATTTTGTGCCACAAAGTACATCCAAGTTCACATGAGCATTACGGCTTAACAGATGAAAGTCGCTCGCTTGTTGGAGAACGGATGCGCCATTCAGATCTGTTCTCACGATATCGAGAAGTGTAACTGACAGACATGTTTATGGAGCCATGCAAAAAGGAAATAATACGCCGCTGGTAGACGAATTTGGCTGGTCTATGTAGCAATCTGCGTAAAGCACAAGAACATAGTGAAGAAAATCATCGAATTAGCCTGATGTTCACGCCTTTGTTCATCTTCAGCTAAACATCTTAACCCGGTGACTGTGGGGTTGTCAACTGGGGAATTCGAAAGGCCGACATGATTGCAAACACGGGGTTACCATTGTTTTCTGTGGAGGAATATCAAAAAATAGAAGTCGCCCGAGAGCCTCATGAAGTCCGAAAACGGACAACCGTAAGAATTTCAAATCATAACGAAAATATGATACCTAGGTGGAAACCATTTTTCCGAGGTCCAGAGTTTAGAGGCATTATGGAAAGCAGTTGTACCTAAGGTTTTCACTAAGCACGTATTGGTTGAAGTTTAGTTGCCTTAAATTCGGCCAGCCGCGTCCCCTCGGTGAAGAGAGAAAAATGGATCGGCGTCTGGGTGTCCACAGCCGGAGGTGGGGTCAAATGTGCTATGCGAATCAAAGACGATGTGTGACGATGGTGAGAGCAGGAAACTGTAAGTCTTTCATTTTCCAGTTACACTGGAGACACTTTTTCGTGAAATATAATATGTGCAGTTGAAACACCTATGACGATTACCTCAACTCACACACTTGTCTTTCTCTGTGAGCTTACCTGGGCCTACTTTCAGGTTTAGATCATTTGACGTGATCCCGAACATCATTATGAATTGACGAAATATTTACTGACCATGTCGTCTCATAGTTAATACAAACTACGTGCTCTTCTTTGTCTTCAGTCTCAATCTCTTGCTGTCTGCGGTTTCGAATCCAGCATATATCCGAAACATTTGCCGAACATTGTTCTCGTCCAATCAGTCAAAATTTATTCTCTGAATCCACTTGATGGAAGTCACTGTGCCCAAGAATATCTGCTACAAAGTATAATTCAAGTGCTGCATTGGCGCGTATTTCCTATACCTTGATGTTTCCAATCATTCGCACCCCTGGTGTTCGCATCAAAGCACATCCTGTTGGATTTGTAATTTCACAAAATTTGCGCATTAAATCGGCGAATGAACATCTAACTCGTAAATATTAACTGTTTTATCTAGTCCACAATGTGGCAAACATCCCTTTCATTCCCGCAGAGAAATTTTAGTCCGAAATGTCTTTGCTCTGACCCAGCTGTGAAAGCCTCGGTGACTCGGAGGGATTTGAACGCATGAAAACAGGACGAGGCCTTAGTATGGCCAACCCTCTAACCACCTGATCTATGAGACCCCAACGGACAACGCGAGTTTAATCACATTTGAGAGAATATTACCCGCCCAACCTACTGTAACGCCTAAAATCCACCAAATCCGATACAGTAAACTGGCTGCCCAAGCAGGATATCGCAAGTAATGCATCTAGAATTCACCAGATGACTACCAGGCTCACGTAATTAGTGGATCCTCAATTTATTACCCTTCGTGTGAACACCGGGAATTTTACTGAGTTCTGAAATAACAAATTGCAAGGCAGATTTATTTCCAAGTCGTTTATTTATAACATTGGAAAAAGGCGGATGATTACATGCGAATGATTCCTGCTCCATGAATCCTGCTAAGCGATTCTACTGCGGTCATGGACGACCAAACCCAAGATGTTAAGTCACTGTCAAAGTAGGCTGAACCTCCGGGTGTTGTGAAAGCCTCTACCGTGTTGCCTACAAATTAAGAAATAATTGCAATGAAGCTGCGTTGCGAAATGAAAATGTCACAGAGAAAAAAGAGGCCAAAACGGACAGGCAGCATCCGCAGTAATGGCTAAGTGCGCATTTAAAAAGGAACATTTAAGATGAATATTTGGAGCGGATGTCGCATGCAGAGTTAATGCGGATGGGGCGGACTGCATGGCATAAAAGAGGGGGAAAGAACGCATTTAATTTTGTGTTGTATTGATACCGAGAGCAAATACGGCGTTGGTGGAGGTGAGGAGATTGAACCGACAGCGAGGCTCCTGCATGCTAGCCAGTTCCGTCCACTGGCCGAGGGGGTTTCTGGCGTCCGGCGGTGAGAATATCTCCACAGAGTTCAGAGTTCGATCGTCTACTCCACCGGCGACCAGGATTGCTCCCCGAAAGGGTGTCGCGGCGAGCCCCCGTCGCGCAGTTCTCATGGGAGCAGCCGTCAGCCAAAAGTCCGCTGTGGTCGCCTGTTCCCCCCAGTCTGCTCGCAGACGGCAGAAGACCACGGAGTCAAGTGCGGTGAAGGAGCCATCCCAACCACCAATAACGAAGACCCGTCTGTCGCCAGGCAGACAGGCAGCAGCTGGACCCCACCTCTTCTCCGGCAGGTTGGGCAACTTGTGCCATCTGTTCGGATTAACAGGTGAGTGAGTCCGAGAAGAAGAAGAAAAATCATTAGCAAGAAAGATGTGCGTCAAGGCCAGGCGTCTTCTCACCTGTCCTGCCTGACGTCATAGACTTCGCAGGAGGAAATGGGCTCCAACTTGGGGACTTCCCAAGAGGAAAGACATTCACCACCTAATCCGCCAAAAACGCCAATCAACGCCTCCTCGCCGTCGGCCTCGGCGGCGGGAATCCTCACGACGGCGGTTGCGTGCTCCTGGCGTCCAACGGCGAGGGGAGCGCGCTCGCGCCAGCGGCCTTCTCTCACCAGAAACTCGTCAACGTCACGGCTTGCGTTGCCCCCTCCAACAACGAAAATGCTCGCTTCCAGGGGAATTAAAGGAAAACGTAACGCATAATGTGGATGGCTAAGGGATCAAGGGACTTTACGCAAAAAACAACTGTCATATGTGATTACTTTAAGATCGAATAAAAACCTTAAGGAGCTCAAGATCCGCCATGTGATGGCAAAGTGCACTGACAGACTGCATTCAAACACCCATACGGCAACTCACCGCCCACGACGCTGTAGGACGCCCACGAACGGTCTGCTTTCATGTCAGCAACGCGTTCTGCCTGCTGCAGCTGCGAATTGACGCGGAGGACAGACCAACCGTCCTCATTTTCGTTGTCCTTTCCGAAGAGAAAGATGCGCTGGCGTAGACGAGGCCTTACGTTAAATGGGCAGGGCCGCTTGTCCTTGTCTGCGTCGCCAATCCAGTTCGAAATCTGAAACATCAGACAACTTTTACACAAATATAACAGAGCTGAAATGGCATATACTTACGGACATTCGGGTCTTTTCTTGAATATTTGGTAATTCTCCAACAGGCGATTGCGATATTCCACGGACGTCAGGTGCCACTGCACTTCCTTCAGCATAGCCGGAGCATGTACTTTCAGTCGTTCATCGTCCACCAGGCCAGCATCTGCACCCACCCATCTTGCGATGGCATCGACAACTTCCTCCTCAGATCCCACAGACAGATCGTTGCCTCGAAGCACAGTCAGCAGAGTCCCGGCTGGCAAGCGAACAAAGACCTCAGTTGGTACAAAGTTTTCAAAGTGCGCTTTCATCAGCCCGATGCATTTCTCCGTCAGTACTTCAACATTCATCGATCTCGCAAAGTCCCATGTGACCGGCAGATTTTCTAAAGTGACGCTTTAGAGCAGGCAGTTAGACGGGAAATGTGTGTACCCCTTGACCAGGAATGCCACTCCCCAATCCACCAGGTGAGACATCTTCAGCATTTTCGCAAGCGTCACCATGCCCCTCGCATTGCCTTCTGTCACCTCTACTCGGCCCGTGTAGACATACTGAACAAACGCAGTTGCGAGACTAAAAATTGCATATGCAGTAAGCAAAATCACAGAAACGACGGCAATTTTACCTGAGGGGCATTGTCGGCCATCTTAGAACCGAATTTTCCTTCCCGAGGGGGCCACGGAGAGCGGCTCGCAAAGACGGAATACGAGCCGCCAGGACAATTCGATCGGCATGGAGAACATTCCCGTCTTTTACCTAACCGCACACATACATGAATATCCACGGTATGGGAGGCTACCTCTATCGTCAGGTCGTTTATCTCTTCAGCAAGGCGAATTTTGTTCAAAGCAGGACAGCTTCGGATCAGGGGAAATTCGTCTTCGAATAGTTCTGCGTGGGAGAGCGCCATTCGGAGCAATAAGCAGATGCGGTTCGACGGAATGCCATCAAGGCCAGAAAAGGCTTCCTTTTACTTGCGCCCTGACATTCTACGCATGCACACGCGCACAGGCGACCTGCAAGTTCTGATTGGCTGATTGCAACACAAAGCGGATCCGATTGGGCGACAGTTGCCACAGGAAGGGGGTGAATTATTGCAAAAAGTAGTCGCGACTTTCAGCTGGTCAAACCTAATCTGACTGAAACCGCTGATGGCGTACGTTGAATGTCAATCAGACTGACATATGTCGTGTCAATAACGAGATAACCTTGGCGGGGGGGGGGGGAATTGCAGCATAGGCAGTCCGTTTCGGGCCGATGTGTATGCATAGCGCAAGTTCGTGATCATCATCTGTTCATCCAGATAAACAGTGAGGACAGTACTTGATTGGCAAACTGAGGTGGATTAGACCAGATGTGTTTAAGTAGCGATTAGACCCTTTCAGCGCTTGTGAAAAAAGCCAGATAATTCAGGAACACAATTCATCAGGAATACTGTCATCACATAGTTTTGTTTCGCTGACGATGGATCTACAGCAATTCAGACCATTTAGTTTCTGCCTTGAGGTTAACTTCTGCACATATAGTTTCAGAAATCCCGGTACACAACGCATACAGGCAGGATGGTGGGCAACTAGTCACCGTAGCCCAAATCCAACCAAGAATGTAATAATTGAGACAGAACTATGGGAGCGATCATCCTGCCCATAAACGAAGCTGCGTCCGCACTCTCTTCCATCGGGCCTATCGCATCTGCAACAGTGATGACTCACTTAAGAAGGAATTGGCCTACTTACATCGGTTATTCCGGTCCAACGGATATCCTGCCAGTTTTGTAAAGAACTGTCTCAGACGCCAGCGACAACTACAAAACCGCGAGTGTCATGAACATAGAGCGTCGCATAAATTCTATTCACTGTCGTACATACAAGGAATCTCTGAAGCACTCTCCCGGCAATTAAAACGCTTTGGCATCTCCATTGCCCATAAGCCCGCATCTTCCCTTCGGGAGGCATTATGCCGAGTAAAGGACCCGGTATGCAACGGAAGTCCATTTGGTATCGATAGGGGCTGCACGCTGCCAGCTCTTAGTTAACAGTACAGAAGAATGCTCGCGCACTCCCGTATTTAGCATGAACTGACTCTAAGCAATTCCTTGTTATGAATAGCTAACTACTCAGCCACACTATTGCGTCTATATTACGAAATAGAAATAATTTTGCCCCATTTTACACAGTCCTGAGTCTCACATTATCAATCCCGCCGGCAAATTGGACTACAAATAACTGCAAAAAAGGATTAGGCTAAAATAACAATTTCCGTGGATGGTTCAAGCTTCGGCAATACTCGAAAACTATCAACTTCCTTGTCCAGTTGGTAATGGGTGCTGCACACTGGGCCACTTTTTACGCGATTTCATCGACGGCTTTATTGTTAACAACTGCAGCTAAACTCGAACGCTAGAACGAACATTTCGAGCACCCGGTCGACCCCTCACCAGAGTTTTATCGCTCTTCAGTCTGTGCAGTATCATTTGCAGATCCCCTTCAGGAAGACGACTTTGATGCAGCATGGAAGCCGAAAAACAAAAAGACTTATGGAGAGGACGGTTTTCTCACTAAAATCTAAAAGCCGTGTGCTGAAACTCTGGCGTCCTGGCTCCAATAAGTGGTTGGGCCGCTTATGGGAACCGCCGCGACAGCAGTCCTAGTGACTTTGGTGCAAAGACCATTTTAAGGTGCGCGTGGCCCGTCCCGGGCGCGGATATATGTACCAAATATTCAGGTTGTGACACCTTTTCGTTCTCCATCATGGGTTGTAACAACTGAAGACTGTGTGCGTTCTTTACTTCCTCACAGATTTCGATTCCTTTAAAATTAAGTCTCTATGACGAACGTGGAGACTGGGTGGCATGCCGATAAAAAGGCGTCGTCATGGTCTGAGTCCACTAGTCAATCCAGGCGTACACAGGTTCTGATGGAAAGAAATCTCTCTCACCCACTTGAGCTTCGATCTATTATTCAGTAAGGCTATATCTTCTTGTTCACGAAATCTAATTGTGTTACTGACTAGGGTGCCTAAAGAACATTACGAAATTATGACGGTTTTGTATTGGCACACGAGCACGGGATCACTGAATTCCGCTAAACTATCGGTGTCGCTCTCATAGTCTCAAGCCTTGTCAGCACAAGTGAATGAAGGCACTTAATCGCCCGACTTACCCATATACTCCGGGATGACCAAAGCGTGTCCCAACTGCGTCCGTAGCCAGATTAAGACGCTCCCTTCGGGATTGATGTTTGTCAACATAAAGACGTGGGCGATCGAACCTTAATTTGCAGCCGTACCTGCTGTAAAAAAAGTCCCAGCCTAACCTCTACCCCTTACTCTTATTGCCTAACCCTATCTCCCAACCCCTAGCCATAATCTCCAAGCCCTAGCTCCCATCCCCAACCTCAACCCCTAACCCTAACCCTTAATCTCTTCCCCCAACCCTGACCACTAAACCCTTACGGGTACGGCTGCGAAATGGGATCTTGCCAAGTGGGCGGTTTCAAATACCCCCCTGTGAGGCTGCTGAAGAATAGCCAGCAAAGGACGATAACCCTTTACCAAATGCCTAGCCTCGTAGGTCTTCAAAATCCCAAGAATGTGGTAATTGACGCTTCACGTTGTGTTCTTGGCCGCATAAATTCATCGGTTCCGGACATTTAGCCAAACGGTTCTTTACGGCTGTGAATTCTACGTTATTTGCGTTGAAGATAAGTAATCACTTCGGGCGTTTGACCACCGTTGCCAGAGGAGCGCTCTTCGAGCTAAATACACCGACTTCATATTAAATGAGACAGAACGCATTCGCTGCAACATCGAGACGATACTTCAAATCACCGAAGAAAGACGTCTCTAGTCATCTAGGCACGTTTTTTGACATCCGCTTCATGATCCTAGTGTTGCTGCCCTCGATTTGGCGTCGTTGACCAACTGGAGGCGTCAAAGAGGAGATCAATCTAGAACCTAGAGTGATACAGTTCGCCAGAACATGGAGGATGTACTTCGACCTTATGCGCTCGGCATCCAAAGTTAAAAACCCGTTTGGGAAAAAAGTTCGTATTATCCAATGAACGGTGCTTTCAACAGGATTAATTTTTTCAAAATGTTATCTCGTAATAGTCGAGGTATTGCGTCTTTTCTGCCGCCCATATTATCCAAAGAAACAGGCGCAAATCGGACATATACAGGTTGGAAGGATAACAGAGGGACCTAGAGCATCATTTTGACTTGTCCGCACGATATCAGGATGACACCGCGGACAGACAGCAAGAGATTTTCACCATAATGGCATCCTCACTCTTAAGGATCTACACGGTGACTTGACAAATGCCTCATTCAGCAGCATAAGTAAGCATATGGATCCCCATATCTAACTTGCCTTTACTTGACAAATGTCTCATTCAGCAGCATAGGTAAGCATAGGGATCCCCATATCTAACTTGCCTTTATCTAACTTGCCTTTTCACTTAGTAGTGGCATCTGCAAGAAAATTTTGATTGGTATGTGTAAGTAATTGGCACCTCTGGCCTCGGAGAAAACGGGGCAACAGTATAGTGAAGGATCCCACTTACCTGTCGGTAGACTGTGAATCGTATTATACGCAATTGGTGATAATGGGGGTTCCACGGGTAGGGCAGCACGCTAGCCAGTCAGTTGTCGTAATGCAGGAAAACACAGAGATTGTTTTAATTTCATTCGAAATTCTTGTCGTACGCTTTCGTATGGCAACACGAATAAACCTGTTAAATAAAAAAAAACAAGCAAACAGCAAATTTAAAACATTAACAAAGTTTGCCTAATGGTTTGAGGTAGTGAAAAGCTACTGCTGTTGCCAGCATAGGGTCTGCAGCGACTTGCAAATGGATGCCAAGATAAAACCCCATATGACCTAACTCACAGTCTACCAACAGTTAAGTGAGGTCCTTTTGCATAAAGTTGCGATAAATGTATACGGTCGCGACAGTTTGTCACTTAGAGACTGGTAAACAACACTCGGGAAGTATAAAGAACAAACACGGGGATTCCGAGCCAGTTGCTTCTGGCCAGCGTTTCGTCCCCTGTCAAACCAAAACAAACCCACGTGAGGCGTCAGTCGACTGCCAACATAGTACCAATACAGGAACTTTCTCTTCTTCTTTCTTTTAGGAAAACCCTGTACTCGGAATGTTTATTTGGATCCTCCTCCCTGATCGAACCCGCCACTGGCTTGTCCAACTTTACTTTGTTAGCAGGCCAAGATGGGTGATGGTGAAGAGGGTGGGACAGATGTTGGGTGTGTCGATGAACATTGCGGGAGAAGGAGCCAGATCCCCACCCTGTCGTAATTTCCGTCTGCACAATAGCATCATCATCATCATCGTCAGCATCAGCATTATTGTTATTATCATCAGCAGACGGTGTGAAGAAGATATTGAAAGTGCAGTTGTGCAGAACCGTCTTTTCTTACATTATACGTTAGACTCACAAGTCCTGGTCTCTCACATTACTATTTTGCACAAATTCTCTCTCACCTCCCCAACTTTCTCTTTCGCACTCATGTTCTATCTTTCTAGAGCGAATCTGGGCTTCGAAGAATAAGAAGATCTTCAAATGAAATCGCACAGATGGAAGCGGATTAATGGCAGAGAAGAAGACGCAATCACCCAAAATTTTCTAAATTAACAAGGGTTGAAAGAGCATATCGCTCAGGATTGAAGGCCATTTGCGTTGACCTATTTTAGAAGGCCTCAGCTGTAGTGAGATATGCAGACAGTGGCCGCACATCCTCCACTGCGAGCCTTCTGCCATGGCGGGCGGGGACTTGATAGACTCGACGAAGACGAATGCATGCACCCAACACTGCATCCCTTTTGTCATCTTCACCCGCACGACAGATGTCCGCATCATAAGCGAATGTTATCGGCGGGCAACTGAGAGGCCTCAATGCAGTGTGCAAGGGAGAAAGGCACGAGGTTGGCAATCCACTGCATGTAGGAGGATCCTAACTGCACAGCGCGTGAAGCCTGTGACAGGAGTAGTTGGATTCCGCGCTATACTGCTTACTTGAGTATTGTTTGTTCCACAACGTACTCGTCGCTTGTTACATCTTTACTTCTTCAGTTCAGTTGATCTTATTTGACGGAAACATAGCTGTTGAACCTTTAAACTACCTGTTTGTTACAAGGAAGCGAATTATGTCGAAAATCGGAAAACGGAAAAAACAAGCAGCTACAGAAGTTTCCGAATCCAGTCAAATAAACGAATTGTTTCATGTGTTAAAAACACTGCCACTACTGACTTTGCTGTGCAGTAGTCAGCCTATGGATAATTGGTACTATGTCAGTTTCTGTGGGAGACGAATTGAATGCCAACACTCACATTCAGCGAATATTGGACAATAATGAAAAAATCGAAAGTCACTCAAACACAGGTATTAATATAATAAGGTTAATAAACTGCTATAACGAAGTGCTAAGACGATATCGGTCAGGTGGCATTATGACGTTTAGTGGTATACTGGTTCAACTTGTGATTAAAAGCCTCGACGGATGTGGACATGACGACAGCTGCAGACAGAGCATCCCAAGCCTCGACCAATCTGTTTGACAAGAAGAACTCTCGCATGTCCAGCCTTGCGCCAGGCACAGTTAGTTTAGGTGGATGATCACGGAGGTTCGTTGTGGTTCCTAAGTCAAAGAGATCAGTAGGTAAGAGACAGCAGTCATCGCCCCGCATTATACGGAATGCTTGTATCAGGTCACCTCTAATCTGTCTGTAATTCCGTGAAGGATAGCCGAAATTGGATAGCCGTGTTTCATAGGGTAGTGACTCTGTCCGCTAACGAGTTGAGTTGCCCACCCTTGCACTTTCATAGGAATGCTGAGATCTTTAGAATTCCCGAATTTTCACGCTTGAATAGCGAACTCTAGCTGTAGCCGTACGAATGTCCGAAAAGTCTTGACTAAGAAGTCCCCATCGAAGGTAGAGAAAGTTCTCTTGACAATGCTACTTTGGAGCAGGGTAGCGACAGTTTAAGTGAAGACGTGATCCCCACACCAAATTCCCTCTGGGCGTCCTCCGCCTGCATTCGTATGTCATTTAGGTAGTAAACCCTATGGTTAGGAGATGGGGTTCCACTGACACGCAGAATGTTGCGCTTAGTCACATTTTACGGCAAACGGCAGTCCCGTGACCATTTGCCGAGCCGGCTCCTGTTTGCCTGCGAGCTCTCTTCGTAAAATTACGTTCGGATGACGCTCCAAAGCATAATATCATCAGCGAACATGGCGGCATCACAATTCAGCTCACTGGCGCAGTCGTTGACGTATAAGATGAATAAGGTAGGGTCAAGGAAGGAGCTTTGGGAAACACATCTTCCATCCGCAACGTTCACCGACTGCCCGCCACCGACATGGACACTTTGAGAGCGACCGATCAAGAAGCTTTGGATATCCCTCAGGAGATTACCCCTAATGCCTATTCGGCTCCATTTGTGCAGGGGTCACTGGTGTGGTACACTGTCGAATGCTTTCTTAAAGTTGACGTAGACTGCGTGCACTGCATTGCTGCCATCAACTGTCAGGGTCCAGTGATCTAAACAATTAAGTCGGTTTGCCACGCATTGCCTCTACAAAGTCCGTGCTGGACACCGCATAGTAGATTATGCTGTCCTACGAAGCGCACGATATCTCGATTAATTGTTTTTCCATAAATTTGCAGCAAATTGAAATAAGGATGATTGGTCTGTGGCTTAGAGATTGTCGCCGCCTTATAAAGACGGCGTAATCCGTGCTCACTTATAATCGACGGCCAAAAAAGCCTGCTTCGAACGAAGCTTGGAAGAGCATGGAAAGCGATATAGACAGTCTACCAGCGTGCTCTTTCAACGGCTTGGTCGGTATGTCATCCGGCCAGGTGCTTTTGACCCATTCAGCGTAAACAGTTCTTTGTAAACAACAGCTTCGGCGAAAGAGACAACCTCAGTCGTTGGCCCGTCCACTATGCCGCAGTCGGGAAGAATAAGTGCGCTTTACTTCGTAAAGATAAACTTAAAAAATTGTGGAAGGTGTTCTGCTGTTTCTCCGTCTTCACTGAGTTCTAGGTCGTCTCTATCTTTCAATAAGGGGATTGGGTGTCTGTTTCGCGTACGCCTTCTTATATAACTACAGAATAACTTCGGATTTTCGATAGCCCAACTTAGTAGGTCTTTCTCGAAAGTACACCGCATCCCGAGGATTAGTTTTTTAATTAGGTTCCTTTCTGCCTTGTATGTAATTTAAGACACAAAACTCCTATCTGAGATGAATTATCTTCACAACCTCCGCCTTTTATTCACTTCTATTTTAAAGCTTATGGAGGCCATGGGGTTCGGCAAAGGTAAAGTGTTCACGTGCGCACTCCCCGCGTGGCCAATTACTCCGCCCAGGCCAAGTCTCAGCCCCGAGTATGGAAGAGGAAGTTCAGTGCACTTTTTAATTGACTGGGGACCAGTAAACCATGATTCAAATAGTTTCCGACTCACGCGGTTGTCACCTTGCTGTGATCAGGCGGTGACAGTAAGTGCTCTGCGTGCTACAACCACCTGATAAAATCCCAGTTTTGAGGGGGAGAGGACGAAAGGAACCAAAATGAGGGGTTTATTGTGCACAGAACTCGGAGTTGTCCTCTCAGGCGGCAGTGGCCATTTGGGAGGCCAGGGCTGGTGATGACTGCGTCCAGTTATGCTTGAGAGTCCCTGAAATAGTGGGGACAGTCGCTTTTTTAGGCTCGTTGGACAATCTCAACTAGTGTCCAGTCATCGTGTGTTGCATTTGCCGAGGGGTAGAGTCCCAGTGGCTTAGGTTGTGGTTGCAGGGGGTGGGATGCGTTCAAGTGGCCCATGTGAAGCCGCAACCCTGTGTGGACGCAATTGTGTCCGAGCTGTAGTCGGTCGAGCGGCCTCAGGTCAGCTCGTCTGGGGCGGCTACCTGCAAGGTGTGAATGGCGTTGAGGCAGCGAGGCCTTGAACAATGACGCCAGACCGGTTATGATGGCTGGCCACTACAGCTCCCCGCCAGCCACAGAACGAAATGATTGTGCCGATTATGAGGCCGCGAGGCCTTGAACAATGACGCCAGACAGGCTACTGGCAACTAAAACCTCCTGCGAGAATTTCGACATCGTCGAATTTGAATGTGTGGCCGGATCTCGTCGGATGAGCCGCAACTTGAGAGCTGACGTCAGTTATCCGCACCGCTGCAGCGTGTTCAACCATTCTCGTTTTGAGCTGTCTTCCGTTTTCTCCTATGTAGTTGCTTTGTTCGCAACTGCGCCAGATCCAATAAACGACTCCGGGCATTTCTAGCCATGTCAGCGGGTCTTTCGGTTTTATTACCGGACTCCTGATGGTTGCCGCCGGTCTGTGCGCTGGAGTTGCACACAGACCGGAGGCAAGGAGGCCAAGTCCGTCCTTACAAGGGCACTGTGAAGACGTCCCTGAGGTGTCTGCAGACTAGCATGGTCAGCTGGGAATATCTCGACCGAGACCAACATACCTGGAGGAGGACAATGAAGACAGACGCAGCGATCTACGAGGCCAACCGCATCACCGCTGCAAAGCCAAACGCGTGAGTCGCGACTCCAAAATGCGCCAACCTCTCACGTCAACACTGCAAGCGGACGTTCCATGCACGAGTTTGGCTTGTAGGACATCTTCGCATCAACTGCAGCACCCGGACCACACCAGCTGCTGTCTTTTTGTCAAATTCTGCCTCGCCCTACACGTCAGCAACTAACCCTGATCGCACTACGAACGTTCATACCTTCCTCCTCCTCCTCCTCCTCCTCCTCCTCCTCCTCCTTCTCCAGCTCCTCCTCCTCCTCCATTGCCTCAATATCGCTAGGGCGGCTCTTGCGCTCACTACCACTGCACACAGTCATTAAACACCAACGAACATCAACCACCCTCCTCCCTCCACCAACCAACAACACCAACGCTGTGAACTCGATCCATACCACATGCTACCGAAACTTCACCGCAAGGATCGGCCTGGTGGTCACTTGCCAATCCATCGCACGGGGACTGCCAATCCAGTGCATCGAGAACCATCCTACACTCGCCGCATTCACCTCCACTGTCCACAATGCCTCTGCATATTCACTCATTTCAAGTATCTTTACGATCACGTGAGAGCGGAATCGACCGCAGTCTCGAAAGGCCTAGCACCTCCTTCATAGTCATCATGCTAAGCTCGACCTACACCCCACTGCATTGTGCAACAGCCCAAATAGAGCATAGGGTTCTGAACTTGTTTTTTAAGCAAGTGAGTAGTCATCCTGTAGAGAATCCCGGGCCAACCTCGTCACATGGCCCCGATCAAAGCCGGTGATCTGCATGCCTGATATGTCCCATTTTTATTTGTTATATGTTCTCCCGTCTTCCGTCTTTTTCCGGGTAAACCCCTTACTCTGATGTACGTTGTAATGGCTCCGTCTCGAACATAGCCTAGGTCGACGCGAAAGGTATTTGAACTGACCGCGTTAACTGCATCAAGACTGTAAACACCGGGCACCTAGCCGCTTATGATGGCTGTCGCCCGATTCTATTACGACTACTACTACTTCGACTACTACTACTACTACTACTACTACTACTACTACTATTACTGACAGTTCGACCGTCGTGACCGACGATATCCACAGTGTGCTCCACAGCATGGTGCGAGCAAACACGGTAACTTCCATGTGAGTAAGCTTGTGGTGGTAGGGGATTTGCGCAGTGCCTCCCACACTCTCTCCTCTCACATGTAGGCCCGGCGCCATGTGAATGACACGGCGAAGAACACGCACCCACGAGTACCACATCCACGCGCCTCGGTCCACAGCAACCACGTGACCAGGATATAAAGCACCACCAACAACAAAAACAACTAATATTACTACCACTAAGACTACTACTTCTACTTTCAATACTGCTCTTATTACTACCACCATAATGGCTAAATACTGAAGCTACACCGCCGGCTTCTACTGGTACAACACCAGTTTCGACGGGGAAAACGACTGTAACCCCACTCACTCCCTTCATTGTCGTGGTAAGATTTGGAGTACATTTTACGGTAAGCATTTGCGTTGCGGTACCAAAGGTGCGAAATTTATTTTATCATTACATGAGCTGATTGCCTGATAAAAAACATGTCTTTGGGGCACTGATTTTACATTCTCCTTCCTGTCCGCTCAGCGGGACTGCAGCGGGAACGGACTACTTTATACGGAAGCAGTATTCGTCATCATCACTCATCACAGCGAAATACGGCCACGACAGAACAAGACACATGGATGCGCAGTTAGACCACCTTCGCTTAATCTCATCTCTGGTTATCTCGCGAGTGCTCTCCGTCGCTGCACCATAAAGATCCGATTGGTAGGTAAACTCGAAGACATAAACGCAGCTAACGATAATGAAAATGCCACTCCTAGGTGGCATGTCTAAAGAAAAAGAGGAGGCGCTCATCGGGGGAGGTTTATTACGGGCCTGATAGTTCGGATATTGATTATGGTTGATTGACTTTATGGACTGAAAACCCCTGCGCAAAGCACTCATTAAGTGGCTCATGTCGCCTAGGTCGTAAGATATTAATAATATCGGAGAGACCGACCGATGGCTTCAGACGCGAGGGCTTGAGCATCAGTTGTTCAGTCGAAGGTTGGATGCAACGTCACAAGTAGTGTATGAGACACATTGCTGATACAAGCGAAGATGCGAGTTTTTAGGAACTAGTTGATCAGAAGAAGACGCGATCGCTGGAACAATGGCTTTATTCGCCTGACGTTTCGGATTCTCCCTTGAATCCATCATCACAGACAGTTGCTGAAAAAGGTGGCTAGTGTACAGCAAGACACAGTATTCATAGGATGTGGTCGTCATGCTACCGCATACCTGCAGCAATTAACCGTGCTCACTTCATCAAGGATTGTTGCCCGCTGGTGCGTTAATTGCTTGATGGCCGGCATGCATGTTGTTAATTGCTGACATCTCATCACCCGTGTTGGATGCTGGCGTGATGATTGCTCGGCCATCTGGCTCACTACTCGGATTCAAGAGAGAATCCGAAACGTCAGGCGAATAAAGCCATTGTTCCAGCGATCGCTTCTACTTCTGATGAGACACATTCGCTACATTGACGCTGTTGAGATTGTGGGCCGAGGCAATGACCCCATATCAAGGCAGGTGCAGGAAACCTGGATATCCACCAAATGCCTGGGCACCCAGTCATATAAACGTGTCTCCCATTTTCTTGACAGTTGATATGTAAAGGCGGGATAAATCGATACCGTGGTTCACAAGGTTGAGAGCAATACAAGTCCCCAATGTGAAAGTGGAAGTCTTAGAAGTAGACGAATTGTGCATATAACGACGCGAATGTCGGCCGCCGACCAGTGCCCTATGAAGGGGCGATCTATGCATTTTCATAAGTATGCGGTAGCATGGAAACTGCATCCTATAACAACTGAAACACCTTGTGCATGGACTACAGGTATCACATATTGCCTTTGATTTTGGGTTCCGGAAGGAATTCAAAACATCAGGCGGATGATGATCCTGTTCCAAGTATCTTCTCTCCTGCTTCGTGATGAGAACTGTGCTTATGAAACGGCAGCCTGGGAATGTGAGTGAAGAAATAACTACTCAAAAAGTTCGGATGCAAAATACACATCACCCGATGAAGACATCTTATTATTTTAATGGGCATAGTTGATGATGGCAGAGCGCCACTTTGCCATCGTACATTCTCGATCGAAACCGACAGAACACCGAGCCCGTGACTCAGTGGCAAGAGGCATTGGACTTCTAACTAGCAGGTCGATAGTTCGATTTACAGGTGTTTCACAATTCGAGGATGGGTAGGATTGGCTGACGACAGCTTATAAGCCATAAATGGCCATTCTAGTCTCCCTTGTCCTTGTCGCTAATAAAATTCTTATTACTTGTCTGTCTGCCCTTGCCTGGTATAAAGATTCAGCAGATGGAAATAAATGCACAACTTAGGCCGAGCAACCATGCCTACGAACACTGTGATGATTGACCATCGAATTCTTGGATTTCCTTCAGACGGTTGGTTGCAGTTAACACCTGCCGACCCTGATGCTGCAATCCGCGAATTTTAGGCAATTACAAAGTGTCCATATGGACCGGAACTACTGCTGATAGCGCAAGCTTCTGAGATCAATCACCTTTGAAATTCAAGGTGCTCACAGAAGTCACTCCACGCGAAATTTTGGTACAGCAGTACAATCAGAAAGCGACACCAGAATTTTACTAACAATACAGTTTTGCTAAAAAAACGTTTGTGCTCGGTCATTCAATGGGAAGGATGCATTGATCCTACGTAGGAACACATTATTATGACTTCGTTCGTTAACATAAGCCAAGACGATGTGCAAACGAAAAAAAGACGGTTTTTAATTAACTTCTGTCACCAGTAGGTGATCCGTTGCAAGTGCATTAGCATATAGGCTCTAGACTAAAGCCTTGTCATATTAATCAGTGGCAGGTGGGTTAGGTAGATGCCGTGGTGCTAAGCGGCAATTTCCCTTGTGGCAGCCAATCAAGCGCTCCTTTTTATCAGAGACTCTGCCAGTTGAGGGTCGCGACAACCGCGCTAACGTACAAGCACGTCACTGACGTACGGTCGTCTCCCCGGCCTGAACTGGGATGCCCCTTGTGCACTGAGTCACGGCTGCGCACATGACCTTTTGCCACCTAACGCGCGTATGACGGCCTGGCCTCTAACTGGTTTGCACCGCCGACTCCGCACCAAACCAATCAGTCACATGTACAACACTTGCGTAAACAACACAGCGCGATATATACTTTGTTCTGACTCAAGCAAACTGCCAATTCGAGGTACGCTGCCTATGTACAGAATAAACCGGTTCCTACAGCTGCCTGACTTGTAAAGTTAAGGGGAAGAAACGTATTACGCTTGGTTAAAGATGATCTCACATCCATAACCCCCATCACTAGCTGACCCCGATTTTCCGAACACTGGCGTTCGTAAACTTCCCGTCCACAAATATCGTCGGCAAGGGTTTTTTACGCTGTCTAGGTCACGTCTTCACGCGTGTCGGACCACCTAGCTTGTTACCTGTTTGTCCTTGTGATCATGCCCCCCATAACTCCGATGCTCAACCAATCAGTCAATGGTTCAACACTTACTTACACAACCAATCACGAGTTACACTTTGTTCTGAACAAACGTCAACTTGAGGCAACCTGCCCTATGTACAGAATAAACCGGTCCTCACAGCTCCCTGACTCCTAGCAAACTTATTACGGGCGGTAAAGCTGATCTCACATCCCTGATCCCCACCTCTTGCTGACCCCGATTTCCCGAAAATCGAAGTTCACGAAGGTTCCTTCCACTTCACTTATGATCATACAATTTACGGCACAATGCCACATAAGTGAAAGTAACTCGTCAAACAAACTTCTCAGACAAAATGCTTGATAAGTTGGACGGTGGGTTATGATGCAATAATTTTCTGCGTTTAATTCGCTAGCAGATTTATTATGCGCATATTCAAGCATTTTCAGTCCAGAAGCAAACAATAACTCGAGACTTTCATTAAATCTTCACGATTTCAGGAAGCAGCAATCCAGAGAAAGGAGGAAATGGCTTTCGTTGAGGGAGAAATAAAGGATGACTTGGTAAGACAGGATGACACTTAGCAGTCAGGTCACACAAAGTCCACCCATTACTTGCATTGATCACTCTGACTGTTGAACACTTGTCAACGTCTCCTCGAATCCGCCTTTTCACTCTGGAATATACGACACCATGCAGCAATCCGACAACAGTCAAGCAAGCTCAAATTCGTTCCAGAGCTCGAGGCAATTAAGCAGAGTAGGAGACAACGACGGCAATGTCCACGAAAAA